GGAATCCATTTCAATCACTGATTGAATTGTCACTGGATTTCTGGATTCACAAGAACGTTAAAGGTCAGTTTGACCATTTAAATAAATGGTTGAGCTACAGAGAAGAAATTTTCAGTGTCTTATTGCCAATGTCAAAAGATAAAGCCAGCAGGTCAGATGTGGTAGGCCAAGGGATGGTGAGGTGAGGGTGAATTTCTTCCATCTTCCCAGTTCTGGTTAATGTTCTCAGACTCCATTGTAGCTCTTCCCAAGGCAAGTCCCTCAAGCAACACAGGGTCCAACTGTGTTACAATTGGTTCCTGCACGCGTGATTAGAGAACACCAACCTGTACACCTTTCTCCTTTATCTCAGCAGTCTACACTTGAAACCAAGAAGTCAGAAGTGTTTGCTTTCTTGGATCAGCTTGTATAACCTCTAGGTATTAGAGGTCAAGAGGTTAGCTTTCCTGACAAAGTCCTATGTAATTATATCTGCCTTCACCAGGAAGATGCTTGTCTTAATTACTGGATCACTATGTTGTTTAGAAGTTACTTTGTGTTTTATAAGAACACACAAGCACACATCCTCACCAACATTTATCATTGTCATTTTTTGTCAAAACCGTCTTCTTGAGTGTGAAATGGTATCTCATTGATTTTGGTTGTATTTCCCTAACAGTAATGTTGAGCTTCCTTTTCTGTTCTTTCCTCTGTTTTCCTCTTTCTTTCACTGTGGAATGACTAAGGTTGAAGAAACAGAACTAACTTGCTTATATATATGCTTCCCAAAGAAAGAAACCATATCTTGTTTGTTTTTACATTCTCAGCACCTAGCAGTATTATGCACATAGTATTGGGCCATCAGAAAAGTCATGATGCATTTTTTACATAGAAAAGCATGACTTCCCTGATGAACCAATATGCAAAATAAATTATTTGCTGAATTTATGGACAAATGAATGATTGAATAAATACACATTCCAATTCTCTATTTTCCTATCCAGAACCTTCTCAGAATTCTCTTTTTAAGATGAGACAATAAGAGTTTAGAAACCTTGAAAGTGAACTCAATAGATGAATCATGATCTGTGTGATGCAAAAGTAAACCAAGAAAAGCTGTGATATTTCAGAACATCCTTCTATACTCTACCAAATCTTGCTTTTATATAATTTGTCTGCCTCCCAAGAAAGCAGACAAATTTTTCTAACTTAAAATCTAAACAAAATAATCTTTTTTCTTATTTTTAGATGTTTTTAAATTTATTTCTTCTGAGAGGGAGAAAGAGAAAAACATGTCTAAACAGGATCTTTCACTCAGTGATCCACCCCTTGTCTCAGCTGTCACAGATCATGAGCTGTCACAGAACATGTGTGCTCAAGGAGGTCCTGAGAACTGAACCCAGGCCCTTCCCCATGTGGGCCCAGTTGCATCACCACTATGCCACTGTATGGCCCCAAATGAAGTAATTTGTAAGAAATCATAAAAAGGATATACTTTCTTCTGTTGTCTTTGTGGCTTTTTTTTTTTTCTGAAAAGTAAGTCCTCAATGACCTAATTATTTTTTGAGAGAGAGAGTTAATTTTACTATAGGGCCAGTGCACTTGCCAGAGAAACAGAAAGATACAGAAAGCAAGAAATCACCCCCCACCAGGGAGGAATGGCCATACCACCCTTCTCCTCTATTCTCCTCTCGGGATTTTGGGCACACACGCATATGGGCCCGGCCTGAATTCTAAGCTACCAGGTCTAGGACTCAAACTGCAGTTGACTACTTGGGAATCCAGTGACATAACCATTACATCATCTGCAGGTCCTATGATCTAATTGTTAAAAAGACCTGTGAAAATGTCATGATAAAATATAGAGTAAGTCACTGGTCATTTTGACCTTGCTAATCTTTAGAGAAACAAATAACAATTTACCAAGTCAAGGAATTTCATAAGGACCATGAGCAAAAGAAAGAATGACTGATTTCTCAGCTGCCCTTCTCCATATCCCAACAAATCATACCCAGCTTTGACATTTTTTTTTTGGCCTTTTTAAAAGCTATGTGCTTCTTTGGTGAACTGTGGATAAATATGAAAATGAATTTGCCCTTCTGCATGAATTTGTTGTATGTGGGCATTGTCTTCAAGTGAAGGGGAAGAAACAAAGATAAGTGGGAGATGGGAACCAGCAGTTAGCGTAATGGCTATGTCGTTGGACTCCCACGTAGTCGACCGCGGTTCGTGTCCCGGACCCGGTGGCTTAAAACTCACGCCGGGCGCGTGTGCGTGCGTGCCCAAGATCCCGAGAGGAGAGTGGAGGAGAAGAGATTGCGGCGTGACCATCCCCCCTGGGGGGTGATTTCTCGCTTTCTGTCTCTATGTCTCTCTCTGTCTGTCTGGCGAGCGCACACGCCCTATCCAATTCTCTATTTTCCTATCCAGAACCTTCTCAGAATTCTCTTTTTAAGATGAGACAATAAGAGTTTAGAAACCTTGAAAGTGAACTCAATAGATGAATCATGATCTGTGTGATGCAAAAGTAAACCAAGAAAAGCTGTGATATTTCAGAACATCCTTCTATACTCTACCAAATCTTGCTTTTAAGTCATTTGTCTGCCTCCCAAGAAAGCAGACAAATTTTTCTAACTTAAAATCTAAACAAAATAATCTTTTTTCTTATTTTTAGATGTTTTTAAATTTATTTCTTCTGAGAGGGAGAAAGAGAAAAACATGTCTAAACAGGATCTTTCACTCAGTGATCCACCCCTTGTCTCAGCTGTCACAGATCATGAGCTGTCACAGAACATGTGTGCTCAAGGAGGTCCTGAGAACTGAACCCAGGCCCTTCCCCATGTGGGCCCAGTTGCATCACCACTATGCCACTGTATGGCCCCAAATGAAGTAATTTGTAAGAAATCATAAAAAGGATATACTTTCTTCTGTTGTCTTTGTGGCTTTTTTTTTTTTCTGAAAAGTAAGTCCTCAATGACCTAATTATTTTTTGAGAGAGAGAGTTAATTTTACTATAGGGCCAGTGCACTTGCCAGAGAAACAGAAAGATACAGAAAGCAAGAAATCACCCCCCACCAGGGAGGAATGGCCATACCACCCTTCTCCTCTATTCTCCTCTCGGGATTTTGGGCACACACGCATATGGGCCCGGCCTGAATTCTAAGCTACCAGGTCTAGGACTCAAACTGCAGTTGACTACTTGGGAATCCAGTGACATAACCATTACATCATCTGCAGGTCCTATGATCTAATTGTTAAAAAGACCTGTGAAAATGTCATGATAAAATATAGAGTAAGTCACTGGTCATTTTGACCTTGCTAATCTTTAGAGAAACAAATAACAATTTACCAAGTCAAGGAATTTCATAAGGACCATGAGCAAAAGAAAGAATGACTGATTTCTCAGCTGCCCTTCTCCATATCCCAACAAATCATACCCAGCTTTGACATTTTTTTTTTGGCCTTTTTAAAAGCTATGTGTTTCTTTGGTGAACTGTGGATAAATATGAAAATGAATTTGCCCTTCTGCATGAATTTGTTGTATGTGGGCATTGTCTTCAAGTGAAGGGGAAGAAACAAAGATAAGTGGGAGATGGGAACCAGCAGTTAGCGTAATGGCTATGTCGTTGGACTCCCACGTAGTCGACCGCGGTTCGTGTCCCGGACCCGGTGGCTTAAAACTCACGCCGGGCGCGTGTGCGTGCGTGCCCAAGATCCCGAGAGGAGAATGGAGGAGAAGGGATTGCGGCGTGACCATCCCCCCTGGGGGGTGATTTCTCGCTTTCTGTCTCTATGTCTCTCTCTGTCTGTCTGGCGAGCGCACGCGCCCTACAGTGAAAATCTCTCCAAAAAAAAAAAAAAAGATAAGTGGGAGATGGGCCACTTCTGTTTCTACTTTTAAACTTTAGCTTTTTAGATCAAGGAGTTTATATTAATAATACACCAACAAAGAGAGTTATTAGGTTGGATTTTATTTTTTCTTCATAAATAGAACCTCTATTATTTTGCACTATCCAATATAGTAGGATTATGTCTCATAATATCACAAGTTTACCAGGTATTTTTCTTTTTAATTTTCCAGAGGGCATGTATGCTCACCAGAGAGAAACAGAGACAGAGAGAAAAGGGAAATGGTCATGCCACAATCCCTTCTTTGCCACTTCTCCTTCCATTTGGGATTTGGGGCATGTGCCCACACATACCCAGTGTGTTTTTAAACTCACCAGGCCCAGGACTCAAACAGCACAATTAGCCATGTAGGATCCAGCTTCCTAACCTCCAGGTCACAGAATAGCCCCCCAATTTTCTTTTTATTTTTTCTTTCTGTTTTTTGTTTTTGTTGTTGCTGTTTGTAACATGGCCTTATTCAGTCTACTTAAAGGTAACTGTCATTTTTAGGAAAAGACCAACATAGTTTATACTGGAGGATTAGAAGTTAAGAGTTCTGGGTTTTAGTCTCTATTGGTAGCTTCTGGTGTGAAAATGTCATGGTAAAATATATAGTAAGCCATTGGCCATTTTGACTTAGCTAACCTTTATCAAAACAAATAACAGTGAAGGAAGGCCTGTTTTGTCACCTCAAAAATACTTAATGACCTACCAGAACCTTTCCAACTATAAAGTTTTCTGAATTTATTACAGAGTACCCTGGTCTCAAAGCAGATCAAGTATTTAAGAACAAGTTCTGAAATAGGTCTCATGACAGAGATTGTGTTACCCAGAGCTTCAGGCGGCTCAACTCCTGGCCGCTCTATTTGAATCAGTGATTCTAACAGCCTTTCCAGCCATTCCCACCTGCACAGCAAAAGGGTCAACACCTATATCTAAGGCCTTCTGAAATCCTGAACTTGATGTTAACTCTGTAAACCTAAGTATTGCCCATTTTCATTAAGGCTTTTCTGTTGTAACCTCCTCCTAGCAAACTAGTTTTGTCCCGGGCCTAGCACCCTTAGCTAGGGTATAGCTTTAACTTTTTAACATGACACTGTTTTTCACCTTCCTCTTCTTTATCTCCTTTACAGGGTACATCCCCAGTTACTTAGACAAGGATGAGCTATGTGTAGTGTGCGGTGACAAAGCCACGGGGTACCACTACCGCTGCATCACATGTGAAGGCTGCAAGGTAAAGCCCAGCCCCTGGCCCCTCTCGGTGCTCTGCCAGAAGGCAATGTTAAGTTGAAGTTCAAATTATTATTTTTTGCCATGTTTATTTATTTACTTTTCATTATTTTAAATCCTTGAGGGGTACAGCATCACACAGATTCCATGTCCAATAGCCTTAGCAGGAAGGTTGCTTTGGAATTTGGCTCCAACCCTGTCACTGTTTCCAGAAGCATGAGTAACCTTTCCCCAGATTACTCTGGTTTTCTTTGCTTTGCCACTAGGAGTTACTGTGTTGTTTTTTGCTTTGTACACGTAAGCACCCCTTTGCCTAAATAGAATTCTGTTTGATCTCATGTGTAAATACCTTCAATTTTAAGAAGAGCCGTGTGCTCCATTTGGTTCCTGAGACCCCATTTACAGCCAGCAAAAATGGCCTTGGACCACAGCTTTCTGGACATAGTGGCCTTTTAGAAGTCCCATTCCCAGCAGGATCCCAGATGGCGGAAAGAGCAAGTTCCAATTATTGATAGAACCATAGTCCAGCATGCATGTCCAGGGGCCACCCAAGTGGCTGGGTATGCCCTTCATTTTGGACATGCTTAAGAACTGAATTTTTCTCCCAATCCCTAAATAACTAAATGAAGTTTTGTGAGAATGTAATGTCTGGTTTCTTTACCTCTATAAGCAAAAATAGGAAGAGAATTCATACAATGAAAAAAAAAAAATAGGTAACAACATTCTTAGTTTGGGTTGAAAAGCATGGAAACTTGTTCACGTATTATCATCCCATGAAATAACTCTTTCTCATCTGTATTATCCAAAGCATTTGAGACAGAGCTTGCTCCACCACAAACTGTTTTCCACTGTTAATCAGAGGAAATATGCTCATTTTTCAAGGTCCCATTAGGGAGTATCTTTGAGGCTATTTAGAGTCACTTATATTCTGAAATTATCCAAATTAGCCTCTGCACAGCCTGAAGTCTGCAAGTAGACAGTGGTCAGCTCTCAGCTAATTGTATGCTCATCAGACTCATCTTCAAGAAATCCTTGACAAGACCATACCAGTGATCACTCCATTCACGTCCCGAAAATGAGCCTAAATTTGCCTACTCACAATCTTAATCAACAAAATTAAGAGAAGCCTTCTGGAAAATGTCTTTTGGTCCAATAACCTTGCCTAGAAAATAGAGTCTACCATAAAGATAAATAAAGCTTTACTAGGGCTGTTTTCAGTAGTCAGCTAATGTATTATAAATGAGGAAATATTTAAAGTCACAGAAGACCTTTGCCAATTTTTTTCTTAAGTGCTTTATTTCTCTTTTATATTTAAAACTAAGTTACCACAAGATGTAAACCCTAAAGTAAAAGTTGTCTCAAAATTTAGAAAAAAATTCATCTTCTTTCTTCTCTCACGTATCTTACCTCCTCTTCTCTTCTCCCCATTCTTCAAATACCCCCTTTCCTCTTACCCTTTCCCCCAAACCTCAAAAAGCAACATATTAGCCCTGTTTCAACAACATAGACCTTATTTTGCTAGTGGAAAATTTTTCATGCAAATTTCCTACTTTGTGCATGAAATTAGAAAACACTTAGGGGCTTGCTAAAAATGTTAAGATGGAGACCAGCAGTTGGCATAATGGCTATGTGGCTGGACTCCAATATAGTCGACCGCAGTTCAAGTCCCTGACCTCGTGGCTTAAACTCACACCAGACGCATGTGCATGCTTGCCCAAGATCCCAAGAGGAGACTGAAGGAGAAGGGATTGCGGCATGGCCATCCCCCCTTGGGGGTGATTTCTCGCTTTCTGTCTCTATGTCTCTCTTTGTCCTTGTGGCAAGTGCCTGAGCCCTATAGCAAAAAACTCTGAAAAAAAAAAAAAACCCTTAAAAATGTCAAGATGATATATTCATTAGGGAGAGATAATTTCTAAGGTCCTAAGGCCTTATATCTGCAAGGCTGTTTTTTTGGAATATGATGTAACATTTTCTCATTCATCCAGACCACTTCGATATGAGATTTATAGCCCTTTAATGAAGACTAGACTAAAGGTTGCCATTACTTAGACATTATTAATGTCTGAAGGAGTTTAATGAAGAGAATTACAAGTAAATCTTAGCTATTTATTAATTAGGAGCCCTGCAGATCGTCTCTTGAAACCAATTTTCTTGGCTTGATCTGCCAATAATAAAACTACATTAACTATAGATGCATGCTTTCATTTCAAAAGCCCAGTAATTCAAACTGGCCTTTTTTCTAAATTAACCCCAAATTATAAGGCTTGCCTACCTGATTATGCAGCTCTAAAATTCTTTTAAATCAATTTCTGATAGTAAGTTTTGAATACTGGGGGAGACTCTAATGAAAATTCCATTTCGTACTTAACTCCCCAAAGTGAGTCTAAAGATGGATGGTGCCTTTCCAAGGGTTTAATGCATTATTAGCAACTGACTCAAACCACGGGAGAATGGAGCCCACGTGCCTGCTTCACGCATGTCTTTGTGCTGATCAGGAAATCAACTAGCTTTTTCCCTATGATTCTAGGATGTCTGGGGCCTGATTCAGCTGAGTTTCTTAAAAGAAGAAATCATGCTGCCAAAAACTAGACTTCTCAACCTCTGTGCCCTTCTCTCAGATGAGTGACCTGTCTCTAGGACTGTCCACCACAAAATCAGAAGAAACTTTGGGGAAAGAGAGTTATGCAGATCATTGACTATGATGACCAAATGTCTTGGGAAAGGACAAAAAAGTTTTTCAAATGCAGCACAGCAAAAGATGAGGAAGGTTATACTGCATATATTGTTTCTCGGACCTGTCATTTAAAAATCTCTCCACCCTGTTCTCCCAATATGCCCTGGTGACAGTCAACTATTTGGGAGCATTTTCTTTGTTTTATGTTTGTTTGGTTTGGTTTTTGCTGGAGGGCTTGTGCGCTCACTGGAGAGAGACAGAAAGAGGAGAAAGCACTGCCCATGGGGGACAGTCACACTGAAATCCCTTCTCCTCCGTCTCTCCCTCCTGTCAGGACTTTGGGCACGCACACACATGGCCCAGCAGGGGTCTCAAACTGCTACACCTGGAGCCATACAACCAGCCTTGAAGGACCAGCCACCTTAACCACACTACACATCCTCCTATCAGCCCACTTCCCTCTGTTTTGATGGGCGCATTTCTTATATATCTTTTATAGAAAGGGTGCTGATTCTGGCCCATAATAAAGCATTTCTTAAGGAAGGTCCAAATTTGGTTTTTAAGAGAGACTTTTGCTATAGAGTATGTGTGCTCACCAGAGAGATAGAGATAGAAAGTGAGAAATCACCCCCCCCCCCCGGGGGGGATGGCCATGCCACAGTCCCTTCTCCATTTTTCTCTTGGGATTCTGGGCACACTCACACACATGCATGGCATGAGTTTTAAGCTACAGGGTTCAGGACTTGAACTACAGTTGACTATATGGGATATAACCATTATGCCATTGGCTGGTCCCAGCTCAAATTTTTTAGTACCTGCCTAAATATTTAACTTGGAGAGTGACACCTGGCTCCTTTTCACACTGGTTACTGTGCCACTTATCTCGAACCACTAACAAATGGATCTGGATGGTCTTTGAATACAAAGAAACATGTATGGTGTTAATTTATAAAAGAAAAACCTCCACGCGAGACTAGCAGTTGGCATAATGGCTATGGCACTGGACTCCCATACAGTTGACCGTAGTTTGAGTTCCGGACCCAGTAGCTTAAACTCACGCCGGGCACGTGTGCTTGCGTGCCCAGGATCCCGAGAGGAGATTGGAGGAGAAGGGATTGTGGCGTGGCCATCCTCCCTGGGGGGTGATTTTTGTTTTTTCTATCTTTCTGTCTCTCTCTGTCTTTCTGGCAAGTGCACATGCCCTATAGCAAAAACTTCTCCAAAAAAAGACAAAAGAAAAACCTCCACTCACCAAGACATCAATGAAATAGAGATAATGTACAAGGGGCCTTCAAAAAGTTCATGAAAAATGCATGTTATTTAAAAATTATGCAAGGAGGAGCCACCAGGTGGTATGGTGGTTAAAGGTGCTGGACTTCCCACATGGTCGACCACGGTTTGAGTCCTAGACCCAGTGTCTTGCTTTCTCACTTTCTCTCTCACTCTATCTCTCTCTGGTCAAATGAAAATAAATAAATAAATAAATAAGTAGATAAATAAAATTAAATAAAATAATTCTTTTAAAAAATTATGCAAAGATTTCAAAAATGTTTTGCACACAAATAAACTCATGCATGAATTCCATTTCCCCATGAGATTTTTTTTAAGTCCCCTGAGACATCTCTTCAGTCAAACCACCTCTAAAAGGCTATTTCATAAGTACACTATTTTAAATGCCTTCTATTTGAGCTCACGTACACGTTCATTTTTACCACGTAACATTTACTTAAATGAGGTGGTCCTTCATCACATGGCAGAGTATGCTTTATCAGCTTAAGGAAGCCAACAGTGTACAAGGGATTTAGGCACAAAATGTCCAAGAGACGGCATTGGAGATAAGCCACAAAAAACAGATGGTGTGATGAGTAACTGAGCTAGCCACCTCAACTCTTTTTTAGAGATAAGCAAAGTAGAAATTACTTCATTCGTCCCATTAAAAGTACACAACGTAGGGGACCAGCAGATGGCATAATGGTCGCATGGCTAGACTCCCTCATAGTCGACTGCAGTGGCTTAAAACACACCTGGCACATGTGCATGTGTGCCCAAAGTCCTAAAAGGAGGATTGTGGCATGGCCATCCTCTGAGGGCCAAGTTATCACTTTCTGTCTCTCTGTCTCTTGGGCAAGTACATGCACCCTATAGCAAAAATCTCTCTTTAAAAAAAATACATAAAAGTACATAAGGTAGCATTTTTGGAGAAATAGGTGTTACCTGTGCATCTGATGTATCACACTCGTTCTCCCAGTGTTATCTGACTTGTAATATGCTCCCCACCCATCCTTCAGAGCATGCGTCCACATGAGAGTGTGAAAGAGAAAAGGGGCTCTCCAACTTAAGATGGAGTCTCGATTTTCCTGTCCTTAGAACGGTGTCAGTATCCTCACTGGATGTCTTAGACTTTGAACTTTCGGCATCTGGGGAAACATGACCTCCCCAGACTGTCTCTTATGTGGCTGTGACTATGTCTCCTCCTGGGAATCTCTACATTCCTTCTTTGTCCTCCTTGGACAGTCACGGAAGGAGAAGCAAGGTCTGCAGAGAAGTTTGGTTTCACCCTGCAGCATGCTCTAACGTTCATGCTTTGGCAAGCTTTGCCAACCCTGAACACCCAGGGAGGCACTGCTGACATCTCCAGCAGCTGCCCCATGCCTGACTTCGTGAATCTTCTAACAGCACATCAACATCATTCAACTCATAGAGTCAAGTGCTTAAGGATGCAAAACCCAAACACAGTCTGACAGTTTCTCTGTTAGAACTTGAACAATAGAAAGGATAAGAGATTTGCACACATGGCCCCAAGTCAGGTCCACTAGTCTCAGTTATTTCTGCCATTTTTCCTGGTTATTCTGCTTTGCCCATATGAAATCCTGCCTTTGGCCTTTTCATTATGCTAAAAGAGCTTTAGTGCCTGAGTGAGGAATGTGCCAGTGGGCATGTGTACGTAATCGAAGACCAAGAAAAAGAAATGGGATAAGTTGGGATAAATCTAGGACAACTGATATTTCGATCTTACCATTTATCTAACAAACTTAGAGACCTCCTTCAGACGTTAGCAGAGAACATCCTTCAAAACTTGTTTTGGCTTGCTAATTCAACCGAAATAGATAAAATTAGATTTTTAGAAGGATGGAAGGAGACTATTTATAATCTCTTCATCTAAAACATTTAAATAATACATAATAATTTGCTTCATTTTATGTTCTATGAGCAGTTAAGCAAATAAGGTCTGGAGTGTGACTCCTGAATTGGGGTTCCAGGTTCTAGCATGTACTTGCCATGTGATTTGGGGCAAGAGTTTTAACCTGTCTGGGGCTTAGTCTTCTTAATCCCTGCAATGGAGCATTTAAGAATATCTACATTATAAGGTTGTGGTAAAGAGATAAAGATATGGAAAGCGTCCATAGCACTTTGTCACGTGCCCCTCACAGTAAATACTTGCTGCCATTATTAATTCCTGCAATGCAAGGTACAGTGGCCAAGACTGGAGGACCACGTTCAGGAAGGTTCTAGTAGGACACACCCTTGAGAATGTTATACTAGACATGAAAAACCCAGAACAAAATAACATTCTCAGAAACCTTTACTGCCTTAAGAAAAGAAGAAATATGTTGAACTTCTAAGTCTATGTCTACTGATACTGGAGAAAATGTTTCCTAAAAGGAAAGACCCCAATGCAATGAAAACCTAGAATTTTCTACCTCCCAAGTGTGGTGATTTGAAAGGCAAAATGAGCTAGTCATAGGCACCTCCAGAGTCAAATACAAGAATTAGACTAAATCTCTCAAGGTAGCTAATACATCTACCTAGTGACCAAAGGATTAACCTATTAATTCATAAAATATTACAAGAATCCGGTCTTTAAATTTTTTTATTTTTTTTTTTAATTTGGACAGAGAGAGAGAGAGAAAGTGAGGAAGCAAGCCGCCAGGTCCGGATTCAAACTGCGGTCAGCCATGAGGGAGTCCAGCACCTTAACCACCCACCACCTGCTTTTATTTCTCAGTATCAAATAGCAAATCTACTCATAACTTAATTCAGCCCCATGATTATGACACCTTATGAAATAAGATCACATGATGCATGTCTATTATTTAATGTTTAGAGGGGGAAAACAGTAAGCATTAGATTTCCCCATTAACCTGTTTTCCTTCAAAAAAAAAAATGCTACAGAAGTTTTGACTTTATAGTCACCTTCTTGAACATGGTCCTCCACCTATGGCATCTCCTTAGGCTCATAGTTAGAATTCTTTAGATTCACTTCCGGTCAGTTGTCCTATAGTTGACTCCGTAGAGCTAGAGGCATGGGTCTCAAGGTCAAGGTCCAAAACAATTCATCTGATAGTTCTGCCAATGCAAAATTTCAAAAATCATTTATTCTTAGAAAACATGAAACTGTTGTCTTAGGTCTTTGTGTGTATGTTTGTATATGCAGGGTTTCTTTAGAAGAACCATTCAGAAAAACCTCCATCCGTCCTATTCCTGTAAATATGAAGGAAAATGTGTCATAGACAAAGTCACAAGAAATCAGTGCCAGGAATGTCGCTTTAAGAAATGCATCTATGTTGGCATGGCAACAGATCGTAAGTAGATCTTTATTTGCTTCATATGTAAGAAGTGTTGGTTGTGGAAGGGTTTGGTTCAAGGTGAACAACCAAGCAGAAATAGAACAGAAACCTTTGTGGTCAGAGAGGGAAATGAATCGCTTACTTTCTCACCACGTCCAGGCTTGCCCTAACTCAGAGCAGGGAGCCATGGCTGGGTGGTTTGGTCCTGCCTACCTCTTATCGACTCCTGACTCTCAAAGCATCCAGAGGATGGGGAGGAAAAAGAGTTCAAGGATTCCTATCATGCCTGTAGGACTGTTAGCAATACTCTGGGACATATCACAAAGAGGTCTTGTCCCTTTACCTTGATAAAGTTTCATTTGGCACACAGCATTCTGTGGTAAGAGCTTCATAGACTAGTCTTTATTTTTTTTTTCAAAAGCAGAGACAGGAATTTATTTTATGGACATTTTTGGAGACGGGGCACTGGCAGAAAACATCATGTTCAGAAATTTCTGAAGAATGCCGATATTGGATGAGTCATCCTGCCATTGGTTGTTTGTCATATTTTTAGCCACAAAGAGCTGAAGTCATCCTACCCAGTTTGCAGAGTGCCACAGCATATGGTGGCGAGATTAGCCTTTGCGGTCTCTTCTCCCCACACTGTGCAAGGGATTGACACCAGTCACTTTAATTAATCTAATCATAAAAAGAAGAATTGTGTCATTCTGAATGCGTGGCCTCCCTTTTGCCGGGCATCAGTGTTAATGATCTCTGCTGGCATAAATTTTTTGCACATCAGCGAGGGATTCCAACTGTTAGTTAAAAAGAAAGGGGGGGGGTGGTAAATTTAAAAAGGAAAGAAATGCGATAGAATTTTTCCTGATGAAAAAGGAAACAGTCATGACATACATTTATGTGATAACTAGGGTTCTTTCAGAAGGGACAAAAAATTCAGGGGAATATTCTGGCTTGCCCAAAGATAGAGACAAAATGAAGAGTCTTGAAAAGGGAAGAGAGTTGTGTTAGGGTATTAGGCTGGAAATCCTGGAATATCCTCACTTGGGCTGACTGTGTTCTTATCTTTTACAGACTTTTAGCCTTTGCGGACATTATGCCTGATAAGGATGTAAACATGATTGACTTAGAACCAAATGTTTAGCTAGGTTGCTGTAATGACCATTATTATTGAATATCTATTTAATTATCTTATTAAGAAGTTTAAGATGAGTGTTTGTAAGATCCTGAGAGGAGAATGGAGGAGAAGGGACTGAGGTGTGATTTCTCACTTTCTGTCTCTCTGTGTCTCTCCAGCTAGCACATGTGCCTTGTAGCAAAAATCTCTCTCGAAGGAAGGAAGGAAGGAAGGAAGGAAGGAAGGAAGGAAGGAAATAGAAAAGGAAAAGGAAAGGAAAGAAGGAAGGAAGAGAAAGACTTAAAAACTCTGTTAATCTAGATTGTGTAGAAATAAATTCAGTATTTCTTGCCTAGGACGCATTAAGGCATTAATTTGTTAAGACTCAGACTTTATCATCAGAAAAACTTCTGCCAGAGTCCCAGATCTGCCACTTACTAGCTGTGTGACCTTTGTAATTAACATTTAGATGTCCTTTCTATGAAACCATCACCTACTCCATAGGGTTGTTTCCAAGATTAAATTAGATAATGCACATCAAGTGTAATGAGCCCCAGCACACTGGGAAAAGGAAGCATTTGAGAAATAAAGTATGGGTATTTTTACCCATTTTTTTCCTCCCTTTAGTAAATGAACCAAAATGATTTAGCAAGTTTCATTCATATTTTCCACATTTGTAAATGCTCACATGACTTTGACAATCCAATCATATCTCAACGATCTAGGGTTTAATGTTCTATCTGTGGATTAGCTAATTACCTTGCTTCTCTTCCTCTGTCATGTTTGCCTCTTTCTTTTCCTATTAGGTTATTCCTTCTTCAGGAAATGGCCTAGGAGGCAGGAGTCCTAGCTTTGACCTGAACTTGTGTGACTGTAGGCAAGTCACAACCTCACAGGATGGAGGAAGGAGCTATGGAAGGAGGGATTGGATTTACTCATATCCCATGTCTCTTCCAATTCTGAAATACTAAGGCTCTATAATATAACCCTGAGCCTTTCCATTCCGTGGATGGTTACTATGTCTAATGAAATGATTTTGCTTTGGAAATTAACCAGAGAAGTATAGCTTTCTGTTTACCTGCCCTTCTTATTTCCAGTTTGCACAAATGATCAAAGTCATGACTACATTTACTGAGCACTTATAATGCATTATCACACTGAATACCCTGTGAAATGGGTATTACTGAGTATTGATATGGGGAAAAATGAAAGCTCAGAGAGCCTGAATCACTTGCCAGAGGTCACACGGCTGCAATGCGGTAGCATCAGGATTCAAACCCAAGTCTTTCTAGATTCCAAAACCTGGGCTCTCTAACCACCACTGAGGGTTGACTAGGTAGAGCAAGTGAATTCCAGTGAGACCAACATAAGTCCAGCCACATTCCAATTAACCCTGAAGGGAGTCAGGAGGAATTGGAGTTCTTTTTCCTCTGAAGAAGAGATCATGAGATCTACTCTAGAACCTTTCTTTAACCTTAATAAGAGCCATTTTAGGAGAGAAAGGGAGAACAGAACCCCTGAGAGTGAATTCAAATGACTGACACTAGACAGCTTTATCTATAATCCTGTGAGATTCCATCTCTCTGTTTCCTCTTCTTCAGAGCCACCTTTTGTGGAGTCGAGATGCACAGTGTCCAAGTTGCCTTGGGGCTTTGTTTTGATAAACTGTCTGGGCGTGGGCACTAGGGTTCACATCGGACAGTGGCTAGTCAATGGCAATTTGCTGCCAAGGGGAGAAAATACCCACATGTACCCTCCACCATGCTCCCAGCAGGACCCACTGAGCCCCTGCGTGTGAATGGCCTTCACCCTGGAGGCTCCAGTGCATGCAGCCGGCCGAGCGTCTGGGGAGTATTTGTGGGTTTCGTCTCATCTTTCCTCTCCTCTCAGTGGTGCTGGATGATAGCAAGAGGCTGGCCAAGAGGAAACTGATAGAGGAGAACCGGGAGAAGAGACGGAGAGAAGAGCTGCAGAAATCGATAGGGCACAAGCCGGAGCCCACGGATGAGGAATGGGAGCTCATCAAAACTGTCACCGAAGCCCACGTGGCAACCAATGCCCAAGGCAGCCACTGGAAGCAGAAACGGAAATTTCTGGTAAGGTTTCCTTGCACAGCTTGGTATCAGTTCCATGCCAGGTATTCTCTACCTCAACTCATGGAGTCCTCATCACCCAAGGAGGGGCTCATTTTATTGCCCCAGTTTTATGAATAGGTAAAATGCAGCTCTAAGAAGTCAAGTAACTTGCAGACCAGGATTTGAGTCCAGATCAGGCCACTCGCACCATCTATTTTTGTGATTCATGGAACTTCTTTTCTTTTAAGAATTATTTTATTATTTTACATTTTTAATTTTACTAGAGAGAGAGAAAGAGAGAGAAAGTGAGAAAGCAAGCCACCAGGTCCAGGACTCAAAACGCGGTGGGCCCTATGGGTACCCAGCACCTTAACCATCACGCCACCTGCTGGCCCTGTCATGGAGTTTCTAAAGCAGTTTCTTACACCTCATCATCTCAGTTTGCTTGTCATTACTAAAGTCAGTCATGGACGAATTAGAAAAAGTCTTCGCCAGCCAGCTTCCCTTTCCATACCTGTTTTCTCCCTCAGATTCCTAGTATACGTTAATGCATACTTAGTCCTCTAAACTCACTCCAGGGCCAGTTATTCAGCCCTGTAACCTAATGGATAAAGGAGCTGGACCCTTTGTGTCTGACAGTGTTTCAATTTCTAACCCTGCTGGCTTGAAAAACATGCCAGGCATATGTGCATGTGTGCCTAAAATCCTGACAGCCAAGAGAAATGGAGGAGAAGGGATTGCAGCGTGACCACACTCCATTTGGGGGTGCTTCCTGCCTCTCATTCTCTCTCTCTCTCAGTGTCTCCAGTAAATACACATACTCTCTGGCAGTTAAAAAAAAAGAAAATCATCCCAAAGTATTCCTGTAAAATACCTTCTGAAATGAATTGCTCATATCTATGTATTTTATATTAATAGAAGTCAAATATTGTTGCTTAAAATAGCTGTACTTTAGTCCAGAAACACAGTGGACTTCTAGGGAATGTTACACTTTGATTTTTTTTACTCCCTAAAGAGAATGAATTCTAATCTACCTAAACAAGTTTCCGTGGTTACTACAAACCAGGCTCTAAAGATGTGGTTTTGTATTTAAGGAACATTTATTGAGCAGCTATTATATGTGAAGAAGTTAAGTCAGCTGCATTCCAGTGGAAGCAGACAATACGGGTTAAACAACAAAATGAACGCAGGTGATGAGAAGTGCAAGAAAGGCAATCTGCAGTGTGAGGAAGCAGCGTGTTTATGATTGGAAGTGGGGAGAGGCTTCGTTTTTCTAAACAGAGCGGTCAGGGAAAGGGAAAGGAAAAAAGCTTCTCAGAGGAGGTAACATTTGAGCTGCATCTGGAAGCCAAGAAAGCGATTCTGGAAGGCAAAATATAATCAGATCTCTTCGTGTCTTGTGGTGTCTTCAGCAAAAATAGCACAGTATCTAGTCCTTAGAACCAGCCTGGATGTCTGCACCTTGAACTTAAAGGCTCCTAACAGTTTTCATCAGCCCAATCACCTATAGACAAAAAACAAAAAAGATATGACAGAGAATGACTTGCCATTCGTGATTACGAGGGGCCGTGAGATTACCCACGCACAAGGGAATTTTTCTGCAGGAAGCTGACATCCTGTAGCTTGAATTATTTACCCACCCATTTCTCCTCCCCCTGTGGGGCTGACATGAAATGTATCTTTTGTAGATCATCAGTCAGTTCAGGAAATTGCCCCTCTTTATCCAGATATAAATACTCGCTTCTCCAAGCTATTTTTTTTTTAGAGATGTTTGCTATAGGGTGTGTGCACTCACCAGAAAGACAGAGAGAGAGAGAGAGACAGAAAGTGAGAAATCACCCCCCAGGGGGGATGACCACACCACAATCCCTTCTCCTCCATTCTCCTCTTGGGATCTTGGGCACGCACGCACACACACCCAGCGTGAGTTTAAGCCACTGGGTCCGGGACTCAAACTACAGTTGACTACATGGGAGTCCAGCGACATGCCAAATGCTGGTCCCTTCTCCAAGCTATTTTTTCTTGAGAAGAATATTGGGGAAGATCAGAAGTTCTCCACTGGCCCATCTGTCTCTACCATGAACTTTGTTTCCGTCAGCCAATCCCCTTCTGTACCTGGGGTCACCCTGCCTCTCCCTGGGAAAAGACCGTGTTCCCTTCAGCACTGGCACTTGGTGTCTAGATCATCCACAGTTGAGACTTGTGGTTGCTTTCATCTAGTTAGTTCCAAGATGCTTCCATCAAATTCTATTCTCCCTATACTGAGAGATGGAGTATATTCTTCTCTCTCTCCTTGAATCTATGTTGGTCTGTGATTCCTGTAAACAATGGATTTTGGCAGAAGTGATGCTGGGGTGACTTTTAAGCCTGGGTCATACAAAACTTTGCAGCTCCCACTTGGGTCTCTTTGGAGAGGTCCTGTGGAGAGACCACCTGGTCTCTCTGGGGAAAGCCAGTGGTTACGTCAAAAAGTCCAGGTATAATGAAACCACCGTGCTGTGTGGAGGCCCCATCTAGCCATGTACAGAGGCCATGTGGAGAGATCTGCAACCTGCCTAGACACCAGAAATATGAGTCAAGGCTTCAAATGACACCACCTTCTACAGCCATCTGACGGCAGCAGGGATGTCAAGTGAGAACCCCCAGCTATGCCTATCCATCCCTAAAACTCTGAGAGATCATTTAAAAATCGATGTTTTAAGCCACCAACTTTGGGGGTGGTTTGTTACACAGCAACAGAGAAACAGAACAGAACTCAGGAAGGGTTACACTGAACCTCCAGGTGCACCAGCCCGTCCTCAGAGACAGTACAGTTAAGCCCCGTGCCTCAGCCAGTTTCCATGTTTATACATACTCCTCGTAGAAATGTGGCTTCCATTGTGTATGCACGCTCAAGCTGAAAATTTCACTTTTGTTGAATACTGAATTATTCCAGCAAGGACATTAAGGATCATGGACTTAAAGACAGTTTTGCTAAATGTGCTGAAAAGAATCCGTGCACTGAATAGGCTCTTCCATAGTAGGAGCTGCTGTTCTGTGTGGTTGATACCCTGACAGCACTGCTGACAGCCCTGCAAGTTACTGCATTTATTTGTACGTGTTGATGTTCCTTCTCATTCTGCAAAAGAACTTAAGGAGTAGTATAATAACATGTCACAGGGGATTAAAAATTATATTTTGTCATGAAAGGCAGATGTATGTATTTATCTGAAGCTGGAAGAGTAGCTTGTTCTCCTAAGGAGTGGCTTCCTCATTATTCACCCTAAGATCGGGACTCGGGTCAGAACTCGGGACTGCTGGTATAACCTGAGTTTCTAATCTACATTTGGGTCTGAGAAAAACCAGAGACTTTGGCAAATTAGGAACTTTTGCAAAAGCTCGGAAGATTTTCTTATATCTAAAAATCTTTCAAACTACTTCCAAAAGCATTGGTAGCCTATAATGTTCTAATTTTCTCCAGTCCACTCAAAACTCTGAGGCTACAGAAATGCACAGTCCCCCCCACCCCACCCCCGCCCCGGCGATTTGCGTGTGATGACGGTGATGAAGCAGAGGAGAAATGAGCCGAGCAGGAAGTGAGCGGTGTCTGGTCCAGAGGAGGAAAAGCAGGCCTCTCCACCGAGGATAACTCACTCCTACCTCCCCCCCACCCCGGGAGGGGGGTGGCACCGAGGAGTTTGGTTTGGCATAAACCCCAAACCAGCCACAATCTTGTCTGATGACATTGCATGTTACTCTGTGCTCTTAGGTCACGTGCAGAGATGTGGTTTGGGATGGATTTTCTATCCAAGTATAAAATGTGACCTGTCGAGTGAGAGCAGGCCTGCTCTGATGTCCCCCTGGCAGAGTTCCTGTTGGATTTTATGCATTCTCACCGCAGGCTGCTTCAATGGGGGTAGCCTCAGAGAAGGACGTAAGCGCACAGCTGAGACAGGGTGGAGGATTGGGCCCAGTGTGGTCTGTGTGGACAGGTCAGAGGACAATGTGCCATCCAGCTAGGAGGGCGTCTACCACCTGAACTTACTCGAACATCAGGATGAAGCAGGAGAATCTAGCAGTGACGTGAATGGAGACTGGGACAGAGAGCCTGGGTCCAGCTCTCACTTCTGTCGCGTTTTGTGTGACTTGGAGCAAATGGTTTCATCTCCTGAGGCTCAGTTGCCTTCCATCCTTCCCAAATAGCATACAGTAGTAAAAAAAAGGATCTAAGTGCTTGGCATATTATGAACATGCAGCATTCCTATGGCTTTCCTAGGAAAAGGGTGACTTGCCATCATGTCTGCAGGCCCAAGGACCTTAAGTCACTGTCTTCCCAAGTCTTCCTGGCCAGCCTTGACAGGTGCCACGATATACCCCGTGAACAAGCAGAGGAATTGAAGACTCCTGTCTGGCCCCATCCTCCTCTGCATGTGCAGAAGTGCTGCCTTTTCAAGTTAAGAAGTCTTTGGCCCTGAACCAGCCACGCAGGGAGATCAACCAGCCTTTGCTTTGGACCTTGAGTAAAACTGATGAAAGCACCAAGTCTGCTCCTTGCAACTTATGTACTCCCAGCCTCCCCCCATGCTGAGTGAGGGCTGATGCCGCACCTATGCACACCTGAGTCTCTCTTTTCACATCCCTCCATCCCGCAGCCCCAGGGGAGTGGCTCAGGAGTGACTCCTTACATCCAATCCATCTTTGGTCCTTGCACTCAGTCCCCAAGATACGACTCCAATTCTTGCTCTTCTCCCCACTTCTACTGCCTTCCCCGTATGGCCCAGCCCACATCAGCCTGCCCAAACTACTGCTGCTGCCTGTCTGTTTTTGCCTTTGGCTCTCCACATCTCTTCCTCACACATTAACCATAAATCTCTGCTCACAGCCTTTCAGTGGACACCCATTGCATTTAGAATAACCCCATTGCCCTTCCGTTCTCCACAAGGCTCCCCCACATCATAAGACCCTTGGGCTCTAATCACATGACCCTCCTTTCTGGCCTCAGGACTTTGCCCTGACTTTTCTTTCTGCCCTAAATTCTCTGCCTCCAGCCCTATGGAAGGCTAATGCCTTGACATTCTTCAATTCAAAGCCCACACACTGTTTCTCAAAGGGGCCTTGACTGGCCACCCCATCTCCTGACCTCCATGCTCTGTCATGCCACCTTCAGCCATCCCATACTGAAATCCTTCCATGAATGTAGTTTTCTTATGTCTTTCTGTGTTCCCTCACTACCATGCAAGTTTGTTCAGGAGTATAATCTCAGCATCTAGAACTAGGACTGGCCCAAAGAATCTGCTCAATAATATTGGATGAGTAAATATATAAGCACACGCTATTCACTCACTCAACTGACAGGCGTTCCTTCCAAGAGCTTGTGCACAGGAGGTGAAGACACGCAAGGCTTACTCCCTCCCTCTTTACGAAGCTCATCTCTTTGATGGGTGCCTACACAACTACAATAAAAAGTGATACAGTGAATGCCTGGATGTCAGGCATACATGTGTGCTCACATGAGGAAGACATCATTTCACACCAAAGTCCTCTGGGAAGACCTCAATGAGAAGATAGACTTTGAGTTGAGTCTTGAGGAACAGGTGGGATTTAGAATAAACACAGATGAGAGAAGGAAGTGGGGGCTTCGGAGAAAGCAGAAGTCTGGCAAGAAGGCAGCAGTGAAACAGAAAAGTGGCAGGGAAGTTGGGGTGAGAGGTGGAAGGGTCCGCTGAGCTGGCTGAGGAGATCCATTTAGGGTGAAGAAGAAGGACGAATGAGAGTTGCAAGCCTCAGACTCCCTTCATGAGCAAGCTAAGGCAGATGGATCCAGAGAGGCACAAAGCATGCTTTCTCCACAAGTCTACACTGATAAATCTATAAGCCATTAACTGCAATAGATTTGACTGATGTCAAATATGTGTGCAATTTTTTTTCAGGTTTTTGTCATAGGGCGCATGCCCTTACTAGAGAGAGAAAGTGAGAAATCACCCCACGGGGGGGTGGCCAGGCTGCAGTCCCTTCTTCTCTCAGGATTTTGGGCATGCATGCATACATACCCAGTGTGATTTTCAAGCTGTAGAGTCCAGGACTCAAACCATGGTCAGTCATGTAGAATCTAGTGCCTTAACCACTGTGACCACCTGCTAGCCCTAGATGTGTGCTCTGTTTAATCTTCCAGATATTTTAGCAAATCAAGGTTGTTCTTACAGATTAAAAATCTTCAGAGAAGTCAGAGATGAGGTTACAATACTTAGTCTTGATTTCTCATACCTGATGTCAGCTATAATAGAAAGCACGTTTATGTCATATGTGATTTTAATTCTAGCATCACTATTGCCTTAAGTATTGGCTTAAAAGTGTGGGGTTTTTTCTTCCTGCCCTGATATTTCTTTTCAACAGAAAATCTTGTGAAGTAGTCACATTTAGGAGACCTACGTTTTAATCAAAGTTGCCCTGTTTCCTTGCCTCATCTCCCTCCTTTTTCAGATCTTTTATGGTGTCACGGGTGGTTCAAATACCCAACCCCTACCCACGGATCAATTAGGAACTATTAACATCAGTACCAACCACCAACATGTCAAAGGACACTGAGTACCATTTAAATACAATCAGATTAGACCTATTCATATTCGGTGAGGAGAAGTTTGGATTTAACTAAGCCAAACCCATGTTATTCAAATGCTTTATTTTATTTCATTTCTAAAAGATAGTCATTCTACCTAAATATACATATTTGATACACACACACACACACATATATATGTATAATCAATACTGAATAAAGAAACAGAACATGTCCCTACATATATATATATATATATATATATATATATACACACACACACACACACACACACACACATACACACATACATGATTTTTATATAAAACCGTTGACTGTGTTGAATGTGTGCCCAGTCTTTGGATCATCTTCCTAACAGACTACTAAAGTAGATGAGGCCGAGCCTCATTTTCAGGGGTGAAAAGAAATTACAAAGACTAACAGGCGATGTCTGAAGAATGCAGGGAACACCAACACCCAAAGGAAGAGCCACGGTATCTTTTTATCCATTAGCTCAGTTTGTGAGACAAAGAGGGAGAGAAAGAAGCTACAGGTGCTTACCCCATCAATTCCATCCGAGTCTGCAAACCCAGCAGAGAAGTAGCCTCCCATGTCTGGCCATGCCTGGAGTTGCCCCTAAACATCACCATTCATATGAAAATATGGCAGAGACTCACCGCCACCAAAGCAAATACAAAATAAAACAGAACACAAAAATAAATAGAAGAACCTGCAGCACAGTCCAAAAAAGGTAAATGTCACTAGGCTTGTTATGTAACGTATTTAAACTCCTTCCCCTGGGGCTGTAACCATGACTCCTGCCACACCCTTAGAAGGCCCAGGCTGCTCCTGTTGACCCTGGTACCCAGGAATGTGGGAATAAGTGAATCATTCTTGGCTTTTCCTCCTGCTAAAAATTTTATGTGAGGATCAAGGGAGTATGTGGGAAGAAACAAAGAGAGATTTCAATGAAGAAACCAAAGAATTTTGGGAGTGATCATGTTAGGTCAAAATCTTACACCTGGGAGTGTCCTCGGAGCTCTGCAGGTGAGGGATTCAATCTTGCACAGCTCACTGTATTTTGGCACACACCGCCCCCCCCCCATTAGCTCAGCCCTCCCACCTACCACCCCCCCTCTCCCGCCCCTGGGATGCCTAAAAGTGACCAGCCCTTGTTCCTGTCTATTCCCTGGGAAGGGGCTGGCTAGCCTATAGGCCACGAATAAATGGTGGCTATGAGTATCGCAAAGTCAAGAAAGAGCAATGGAGAAGGCTGTTCTTGAGATGAAGCACGGGGTGAGAGCAGGACTGTGGTTAAGGCTGTCACATCGTGGCAGTCACAGAATACAAGGCTTAAGAAGGTGGTTTAATGGGCATTGGGAAGCCTAACATGCACCCAGGTCACTTGCCAGGTGGATGGGAGCAGGTGTGTGCCAAAATGCTGATTCTGCACCATCAGTTCTAGAGAGGGGCCGGGGAGTCTCCAGGTGATACGGATGCTATTGCACCATCCTTTGAACAACAAGGCCTTTTCTTGAACAGGTACAAGGCAGAGAAGTTCCCTGGAGATGCTGGATACTGGTCAGTTCACCACTCTGCCCCAAGACTGGCCAAGGTTACACAACTCGGTTTCCTGCAGGCCATCTAGAGATCTTCCCACACGGCCCTTGGTCGAGATTACCTTAGGCTAGAGTCCATAGAGCAGGGAGGGAGTTGGAGCCCTAGCGGCTAGGTCAGAGGCAGGAACGAACCCACAGGGCGCTGTGTGCTAGGGTTCATCCTCACCACTGCCCATGGTGTGCCCACCGCCTACACACAGACACAACACAATGGCCAAGCCATGTATCTTTGCTCAGAGACATGAGTGATGTGAAGGCTGTACTGTTTGTTAATAAACAAGGTCAAAATTAAAACTTGCAGCAAGATTTTCTGCCACATGAGATTCTATGATAAATAAAGCTCCCTTCAACTTCTTCATTTAAATCTCATCTCTTGGGACCAGCAGATGGCATAATGGTTATGTCGCTGAACTCCCACGTAGTTGACTGCAGTTCGAGTCCCAGACCCAGTGGTTTAAACTCACACAGGGCACGTTTGCGTGCGTGCCCAAGATCCTGAGAGGAGAATGGAGGAGAAGGGATTGCCGCATGGTCATCACCCCTGGGGTGGGGGTGGGGGGTGTTTTCTCACTTTCTGTCTTTCTGGCAAGCACACACGCCCTATAGCAAAACTCTCTCAAAAACAAAATAAAACAAAAAAGTCTTGTTTCTCTATGGGGCCAGCAGATGACGTAATGGTTACGTCACTAGACTCCCACATAGTCAACCACGGTTCGAGTCCCAGGCCTGGCAGTTTAAAACTCACACAGGGTGCATATGCATGCATGCCACCCAAGAGAAGAATGGAGGAGAAGGAATTGCAGTGTGGTCATCCCCTTATGGGGGGCAATTTCTCACTTTCTGTCTCTCTAGTGAGCACATGAGACCTTTAGCAAAAATCTCTCAAAAATTAATAAATCTCTTGTCTCTCTTCTTTAGCCAGAAGATATTGGACAAGCACCAATAGTAAATGCCCCAGAAGGTGGAAAGGTCGACTTGGAAGCCTTCAGCCATTTTACAAAAATCATCACACCAGCAATTACCAGAGTGGTGGATTTTGCCAAAAAGTTGCCTATGTTTTGTGAGGTAAGGAAATTGCTTTTCCTCCGTGTTATTTTCATGATGGTCTCATCAATTTCCAGGAATATTGGGTGTTATTTAAAATTTATTATTGATTAGCAGAAACTTAGTCACATGAAAGCGAGTCAGTTCAAAATGAAAATGCACTTTCTTCACTGCTTCTCCCACCTTCTCTATTAGTTCATCACTCGTTAGCTTGTCTATGTTAGGTCCATCAAGAGCCTACCCATCCCTCTGACTCCAGGCGGAGGGAAATATCGGTAGCAGCAGCTTCCATTTATCCAGAACCTACGATGCCCTAGTTACCATACTCAGGTTTGCTCCCATGAAATTCAGTCCTTATAACAAATCTCCAGGGTAGCTTTTATTAACTTCATTTTATAGATGGGACATGAAGATTGAGCCATCCTCACAGGCTAGTGGTTAAGGGAGCCAGATCCCACATGGCCAACCACAGTTTGAAGCCTGGCCCCCTGCAACTTGAAAAACACGTCAGGTGTGTGTGCATGCATGTCCCAAATCCCAACAAGATGAAGAGATAGAGGAAAAGGGATTGTGGCATGAACACACCCCATTGATGGTGTGCTTTCTCCCTCTTTCTGCTCTCTTCCCAACCTCAATCTCCCTGTCTCACTCAGGCAAGCACACATGCCCTCTGGTGATTACAATAATAATAATAACCAGAAAGATTAAATTATCCAAACATGGCACTACGGTTTGTACCCAGGTTTGCATTTTTTCCACTACATATCCCAGCAAGATTGCTGTGTGGGCGTTTCTCAATCTTCCCGAATGAATCACATGGTTGTTACAGAGCAAGGTTCTTGATATCTCCTTAAACCTTCACTCTTACCTATAAGCTCACTATTTATTGCCTCATCTTTGGGGTACTCTGTAAAGCTCACCCACCAGAGCTCAAAAGATTTTCCCGTTGGGACATTTCCTCCCTAAGTTTAGCAGTCCTGTATGGGATGACTCAAACATGGTCTCTGCAGTCAGGTGCATGGGCAAGAATTCTAAACAAGTTGCTTGATGTCTTCAGGACTCAGCTGTCTTTTCTTTTAAATGAGAATCATTACAGCCCCTATCTTTTAGAGATGTTGAGAAGTTTAAGTAGGATAATTGGGTTATTGGACAGTGCAAGGATCATACTAAATATTCCATACGTTTGGCTATTAATACTGCTGTTATTTCTTTTCATATATTTCCATTCTTTAACTTTCCTTTAAAAAACAAACAACCAAACAAACAAATGGAGTTGATTATGTTTTCTGGAGAACGTTCCCTTTTGAAAAACTCCATGAGGTGCCAATCTACTGCTCTTTAACTCCTTCAAGGGGATCCAGAAAGATACCAAATAGAACGGGCCACACACCGCTATGAGCCTCTTGTATAAGCTACCTGAGTGATAAGTGATTCTAATCTCACCTAGAGAGAAGCTGAGTTTCCTCACCCGGAATGACTCCATGCTGCCTTGGCTTCCAGCTCATTTGTGTCTTTGAGTTTGCAATAACAGAAGCCCAGCTGGAATCAGCAAGCCCTCAGACATTGATAGAAACACATTGATAGAAAACCTTGCCTATTTCTGAGCCTCCATAGAAGCCATAACCAGAAGGACAGGGCAATGGGCCTCAGGACCCAAGTACCTGACCCCAGACCCAGCTGAGACAGATAGAGCATTTGCCTCCCTCATACCCCTGGCTTCACTGTGGTGAGTGCCATGTATTTCAGTCAGTTTGGACTGCTAGAGCAGACTCCCATAGTCTGGGTAGCTTATAAACAACAGAAATGTCTTCCTCACCGTTCTGGAGGCTGGAAGTCCAAGATCAAGGTATCAGCAGATTTGGTGTCTAGAGCAGACTTGTTCAGTTCACAGACCACTGTCTTCCCACTGTATCCTCCCATGGTAGAAGGGACAAGAGAGCTCTCTGGAGTCTCTTTTATGAAGACACTAGTTGCATTCATGAAGCCCTGCCCTCATGATCTCCATATTTCCCAAAAGCCCCACCTCCAATCCCATCACATGGGAGTTAGACTGCAACATGTGAATTTTGGAGGTACGTAAATATTCAACCTATTTCAGCAGATACCTAACATTCTGGTACCCACAGACCTGCAACGAGGACACAGACCTCATTCATAGAGGAATCCGTGAGCCCTGGGGAAGAAATCTTTGCATATATCTGCATTTAGCCCAGAGCTTCCCATGCCTGTGACATCTTTTTTCAAAATTAACATTTATGAACATTCTGGAGACTATTACAAAAGTCATACATATTCACCGAAGATTTATACAGCATAATGAAAGTAGTGATTCATGATAACACCCCCAAAGATAACATTGCTAACATTTTGGAGCCTGCTTTCGTCTTTTTTCAGAAGTGTATTTGTATACATTCAGACATCCACACACAACAAATATGTATGAAATATAAAATTTAAAAATATAATTTGTATCATGTGTCCTTTCTATTTATGAAACTTCCTGTTTTAACTTTTTATTAAAGATTAAGGGCACATATATCCTAAGAGTACATCTCATGGATTTATCCGTGTCATCAATATTGAGATTAAAGAAACAGAATATGTCCCTAAATTTTTACACCGCATGGTGGGACATACGATTTAAGTATGCCTTCACAAAATGATTTGCAATGACCATATGATATTAATATGTTAATTATTACAAAGAATGGGTATACCATAATTTAGGTTTTCTTTTTACTGGATCTGTAGTTCATCTCTGATTTTTCACAAATAAAAACATGCAGCAAAGAATATTCTGATGACAATGGCTTGTTCACATCACTGTTTCCCAGGAGTAAATCTTAGACATGGGATTAAAATTCCAAAATTAAGGGACCAGCAGTTAGCACAGAGGCTATGTCACTGAACTCCCACGTAGCTGACCATGGTTCGAGTCCCAGACCCGGTGGCTTAAAGTCAGGCCAGGCGCGTGTGCATGCATGCCTAAGATCCCAAGAGGAGAATGGAGGAGAAGGGATTGCAGCATGGCCATCCCCCCGGGGGAGTAATTTCTTGCTTTCTGTCTCTCCATCTCTCTCTGTCTTTCTGGCAAGCACACATGCCCTATAGCAAAAACCTCTCAAAAAAAAAAAAATTCCAAAATTAAGCCTGTTATGGTTTTCACACCTGCTATGGTTTGTATGTCCCCCAAATATTCATGTGTTGAAAATTTGACTGATGGGATTGAGAGAGCAAAGAATGTAGTCAGACTATGGTATTGAACGTGAGGCCTTTGGGAAGAGATTAGGATTAGGGTCATCAGGGTGGGGCCCCCATGACTGACTGCTGGTGGATCAGTGAGGAGAGGAGATGGGACAGACACTAATGGGCGCAGCCGCTCAGCTCTGCTCTTGGGACACTGCAAGACCCCCACCAGATGTGGTCCCTGGACCTTAGACCTCCAAACTGTGAGCTGAATAAACTTCTATTCTCCTACATTACCCAGATTCAGGTATTTCCTGTGATTAACAATAGAATGAACTAGCACTTACCCGACTGAATTACTACCCCTAAAACTCAAGCCGGCCTACTAGTCACCCTTTGATGGCCTGCCAGAAATGAGCTTTTAAAAATGTAAAGCTCATGCAAACCAACCGCTAAAGAGACATTTCAGTCTAAGAAAGGAAAGAAAAATGAAGGGCATCTCCACCCCCAATAGGAAGCTCTGCACTGTCTGTGCAAGGGTGAGGGTCAGCGTAGAACTTTCTGGGCAGGAGTTGTGACGAGCATATCTCTTCACGTTTCTGTTAGATCTTTAAGCCCGCTTCAGTGTCTCATTCAGCCCTGATATTGTAGTCTCCAAATTACAGACAGGGGACGCGTGGGCAGCAGAAATGCCTACGTTTCCAGCTTTTTGGCCTCCTGGGGAATCTTCTAGCCTTCCATACTTGCTTTGAATCCAAAAGAGGGTACTGATATGTGGAGGCCCCTGAACTCCGCATAGAGTGGGTTGGAGATCCCAGGTGGTCTTGAGATCCCTGGTTTCTTGCCAGAGGGAGCGTGATGCATCCCTTGTTCATGACCATTGTTTGCTGTGATCCCCGCCCACCCACCAAACAAGATTGACAGGACACCTGGGGCTTCACAGGCCTGAAAGTATTTGCAGAGCTGCCAAAACTACTCATGAGAACCACTGCTAGAATGCAGGGCACTTTTGTCTTTGCCAATCAAGCTGAGTGATGCCCTCCTGAAGAGCTGGGAAGAATCCGTGGGAGTATGCCGGCATCCCTGCCTACCGGGCCCTTGTTGGACCCTTCTCACAGCGAAAGTCTTGGCAAGTACATAAAAGATTATTCACCCACGTGTTGAAACACACCTCACCAGGATCCCACAAACCTCTCTTAAAGAAAAGGCATGTGGCCCAGTTTTTAAACCATTGGCGAGTCTTTGTAAACCTTTCTGCTTTTCTTGAAATTTGTACTCATCGTCAATAGTTAGTGGGGTTATTTTTAAGGTCTAGTTCATCAGTAATTGGACTTGGCTTCACAGGCGGGATCTGTCTGGTGGGCCCATGTTGCGACATGAGGAAAAGATCAATGGTTTGACCTGACAAGCAAGCACTATGTCATTGCCGTTCTATGTCAGTGGTTCTCAAGAGCAGGGTCTGCAAACCAGCAGCATGAGCAGGACCTAGCAGCTCCGCAGAAATGCAGACTGTCAAGGAGCAGAGGCAGCAAGCGTGTTGAACGAGCCCTCGAGCAGTGCTGATGGGGCTGAGATGCAGAACAACAGCCCTAGGCATCAAGGCCCCCTGTCCATCCAAGCCCATTCTCCATCTTACCTGTGGAATATCTGTCCCTGCTTGGATTTCGTATTTCTTGCCACACTCTGGGGCCAGCACGCTATGGATGTAATCGAGGAGTACAGCCTAAACCCAAATGAAACCAAACTACAGTGACTTTAAAAAAAAAAAAAAAAAAAAGGTGAAAGGAGAGATTTCTTATCTATGGATTCTAAAACAAAATATGAAATGACTTTTATTCTGTGGGGGGAAAAAAAACTAAGCAGTTTGAAGGAAAAGGGTAAGGTGACTAAGCTGCGTCAGTGCAGATATGAAACACTCAGTATTTTACATGTAATCCAGTGGTATTCTTGCACTTTATATAATAACCTCAACTGGACGAGTTGAACGTTATCCAGAGTATTTCCCAAGAAAGAATGTGTAACTGCCCTCATGGCTAGAGAGTATATGTAATTTACACGTTCGGTGTTTATGGAAACTTAGTCATAATTACAGTGCTTCCAAAGAGCATGTTCTTGTCTTCTCTTGGGATGGGCTCTTGACAGATCTGGCTTCAAAGACCAGCCTCGCTACAAAACATGGGTGTGAACCCCAAGCATGTTAGTTGACCTCTCAGCACCTGGGTTTCCACATCTGTAAAGAAAATTAGAATTAGAATATTTGCCTCACGTCTTCTCTGTGCAGGTTGAATAAAGTGATGCATGTAAACCTTGGCACAATGCCCAATTCGTCGAAAGCACCATTGACTAACCAACAGCCCTTCAAACTAATTCGGTCATGGTATTTAGTTAAACATTTTCCCCCTCTAGAAAATAAAATTCTGGACTTTTTTCTGTACTTAGTTAAGTTCTTTTTTAAAAGGTTATTTTTTTATATATTTTGGAGAGGTTTTTGCTATAGGGCACATGCGCTCACCAGAAAGACAGACAGACAGACAGAAAGCAAGAAATCACTCCCTCCACCCCCAGGGAGGATGGCCACGCCGCAGTCCCTTCTCCTCCATTCTCCTCTAGGGATCTTGGGCACGCACGCACACATGCTTGGCATGAGTTTAAGCCACCGAGTCTAGGACTCGAACTGCAGTTGACTACATGGGAGTCCAGCGACATAACCATTATGCCAACTGCTGGTCCCTTAAAAGTTTATTGTTAATTTGATCTCATTATGACAAATCCTAATTAAGAGGGTAACCAAAAGACCTTAGGATGAGATTGTAACACTGACAGAAAGATCCAGCATGTTGAGTCATTCTGGCATCAGAGATACGGAGATACATAACCTTGGGAGCCAGGAGAGTTGAATTCTGGTCTCACTTCTGCTCCTAACTACTTGCTTGATAACCTTGACAATTTTTTTCTACCTCTGGGCCTCATGGTAACATGTATCTCTCAGCACCCTCTAATTCTGTGCCTTTTGAGAGACGCAAAGAGCAAACTTGCTTCAGTAGAGTCAGCGGGCAACTGTTGGAACTACATGACAAAAATAGATGAGGAAATTAATACTCTAAGTAAGGAAGATAAAGATGACAAAAATCGTGAATGTGATACCGAACACTACAGAGCGCTTAACTCCACGTGTCTTCCCAATTCTCTGATGGTCACGCAACATATTTAATAACTTTAAAGTCTCCTCCATCCTAGTGATGGGCACTTTTGATTAATACTAGCAAGACCACAAAAATACTACAAGATAGACAAAAATTTGATGAGTTTCACATACACCCTACTCTCAAGCAGGTAACAGTTGGAGGTCAATACAGACCTCCAGGCTAACAGGTTATTAGCATGGTTTTCCACATGACGCAAGCTGAAGCTCTGTCTCAGTCCTAAAAGAAATGTACTCTGCAGGGCCAGCAGTTAGCGTAATGGCTATGTCGCTGGACTCCCACGTGGTCGACCATGGTTCGCGTCCCGGACCCAGTAGCTTAAAACTCATGCCGGGCGCATGGACGTGCATGCCCAAGATCCCGAGAGAATGGAGGAGAAGGGATTGCGGCATGGCCATCCCCCCTTGGGGGTGATTTCTTGAGTTCTGTCTCTCTGTCTGTCTCTGTCTGTCTGGCAAGCGCACGCGCCCTATAGCGAAAACCTCTCCAAAAATAAAGAAATGTACACTGCTGAGAGTCAAGTTGGTGAAGGCGACAACCAGCTTGGAATAGGAAACGTGGTAATGAGAAGTCTGTAGCCGTGTAGGAAAGAAAACCACAGGCTCCGAGAAGGAGAAACTGCATGCCCCTGACTGGCATTTGTGCACATGTTCTTTGCTGATGTGCGCTGGTTCTTTTCAGCTGCCATGTGAAGACCAGATCATCCTCCTCAAAGGCTGCTGCATGGAGATCATGTCCCTGCGCGCTGCTGTGCGTTATGATCCGGAAAGTGAGACTTTAACCTTGAATGGGGAAATGGCAGTGACACGGGGCCAGCTGAAAAACGGGGGTCTTGGGGTGGTGTCGGATGCCATCTTTGACCTGGGCATGTCTCTGTCTTCTTTCAACCTGGATGACACCGAAGTAGCCCTTCTTCAGGCGGTCCTGCTGATGTCTTCAGGTGAGTGTGGGGCAGCCCAGTAGCTTTTGCTCGTCTGATCATTCAGACCCTATCACGAGTCTAGTCGTATCCTTTTTTAGCTTCAGAGTCATAGCTCACTCTTCTTCAGTGAGGGATTGTGCATTTGCCAACGGACTGGGAACTGAAGAAGGGTGTCTGATGTCTGATGCGTTTCGTGGTCTGCCAGGGTAATGGGAAGAAACCATCTTAAAGATTCTAGGATAGGGACCAGCAGATGGCATAATGGTTATGTTGCTGGACTCCCACGAAGTCACTGTGGACCCAGTAGCTTAAAACTCATGCCAGGTGCGTGTGCGTGCATGGCCAAAATTCTGAGAGAAGGGATTGTAGCAAGGCCATCTCCCGATATTTCTCGCTTTCTGTCTGTCTGTCCAGCAAGCACATGCACCTATGGCAAAAATCTCTCTCAAAATGAATAAATAAATAGATTTTTTTTGTTACTGAATACTATGACGGTTTCATCTGCGGTGAGTCAGTTTAACAGATTAGGAAATTAATACTCTAAGCAAGGGAGATAAAGACGACAAAAACTGTGAATGTGATACCAAACACTACAGAGCGCCTAACTCCACGTGTCTTCCCAGTTCTCTGATTTTATGAGCCTAATGGTCACGCAACATATTTAATTACTTAAAGTCTCCTCCATCCTAGTGATGGGCACTTCTGATGAATACTGGCAAGACCACAAAAATATTACAAGATAGCGTACATTCGGCCAATGTTACCTACTTGCTGAGATTCCAGCCTCCATTTCCTCCTCAGCCTGGACTTGTAAGCCTTGTGTTTTGTTTGGCATTTCAGTTACACAATATTTTAGACCTTTTCTACAAAGCCTTTTCCAGGAGCTGCTACTGCTAATTTTCTTGTTCCTGGGGTGATAAACAGAGAACAAAAATGGAAATGACTTAGAAGGGATTTTGTTTTTTGGAAATTTTTGTCTTGAGTTAAAAACAGTCTTCGGTCTTTAAAATGTTTCTCTTGGGCCAGCCGACAGTGCGGCGGTTAAACCCTGTGCTTTGAGAATCGGATCCTACATGGATGAATGCAATTCAAATCCTGGCCCCAGGATTTAGTACATGTATGCCCAAAATCCTAACAGGATGGAGGAATAGAGGGAAAAGGATAATAGTATGACCATGTACCATTAGGGGGTTCTCTCTCTCTCTCTCTCTCTCTCTCCCTAAGTGCACAGCCCTCTGGCTAAATAAATAACATTTTTCTGTCATCATAAAACTGTTTAGTATGATTCGAGCATTATCAATATATTTATCCTTCATATTATTTATATAACCACTTATCTTTATCTCTCTGGAAAAGGTTTGTGTAAGTTTAAGTTTCTTTCTTTCTTTCATAAGAGTGAGAGAGAGAGAGAGAGAGAGAGAGAAACAAGAAGGGTCGATGGAATCTTAGGCCACAATCTCCCCTAGCTTTTCCCAGGCAGCCAGGATCACAGGCACCCACACACCTACCGTGGACAAGTTGACCTGGGAACTGAACCTTGGTCTTCCATGTGGCCTCCAGCACTGTAGGGCATTGCACTACTGCCTCAACCACTGAAGGAAGGCCAACGGACAGAATACTGATGCAACAAAACTATTCTTTCCCTTTGAAGGAATGCATCCAAAGCAATATTATGCCGATTTGATGTGAGGGTGGGAAGAATCAAACGTTAAAAGCTCCTCTAGAGAATTCTTGCGCACTCAAAGAAGGAGAAAAGATCAAAGAGGAGGAGGGAGAGGGAGGGAGCAGGGTCCATAGTTACAGTAGCATCAAATATGAAAAACAATACAGAATAAAGATGCACAAATTAGGGGCCAGCAAGTGGCATAGTGGTTAAGGTGTTGGACTCCCATGTGGCTGGCCATGATTCGAGTCCAGGACCCAGCAGCTTGAAACACACCAAGCACGTGTGCATGCATACCCAAAATCCCAAGAGGAGAATAGAGGAGAGACCACTCCCCCTGGGGGGGTTGATTTCTTACATTCTTTCTCTCTGTCTCCCCAGCACATGCACCCAGGCCTCTTGCATCATCCCTTAATTTATCTTGTTTTTTTTTTTTTTTTTTTTTTTTTTTTATTGGCGTGAGTCTCCTCCCATGTAGCATGAGAAGACCAGTGGTCCTCCCAAGACTTGGGAAGACTCTCAGGCTTTCCAGCGTCATGGTCGCCTCTTGCACCAGCCTCCCATTGGGTCTAGCCTCTTTTCTGCAAAGGGCGACTCACACAGCTCGCAACCCCTTCTCTTTTTAATTCCCCAAATCAACCCCAACACAAGGCTGCTACAGGGAACAATTTTACAAAAGTTCTAGGGAAGGGAAGGGGTGGCTCATTGCAGCCTGACAAAGAACTTAAAATTGGATAATGTGCTTCTTTGTCTTCATGGGAATTTCTTAGTGTCTTTCATTCCTCTTTGGCCTCCAGGCCTCCCACACTGTCTCCAATCTCTTCTCGCATCTCCCCTCTCTCTGCTTGTCCATGCTTGTACTCCTAGGTTTTACAAAGGTTCTAGGGAAGGGAAGGGGTGGCTCATTGCAGCCTGACAAAGAACTTAAAATTGGATAATGTGCTTCTTTGTCTTCATGGGAATTTCTTAGTGTCTTTCATTCCTCTTTGGCCTCCAGGCCTCCCACACTGTCTCCAATCTCTTCTCGCATCTCCCCTCTCTCTGCTTGTCCATGCTTGTACTCCTAGGTTTTCCAGGCAGCCAATGGAAATTCAGAATCAGTCCCCTCATGATGCAGAATATTTCAGCTATGGTAGGCTTCTCCTTACTACCCTAAGTGGGAGGCATTACCTTTCACATCTAAGAACTGATTTGTCTAACCCAGAGAGAATTATCCCAATGGATCATTGATCCTCCTCATGTAAATAGTGCCACTTCCCTGGTCTCGTAGCCTATGGTGCCCCAGAGTTCATGCTGCATCCATGCCCACTCCTAGGATCTGGAAAAGTCCCCAGATCTGCTGACCTCCCACTACGGGACTTCATTGGACAAGGCAAGCCTTCCATCTTCCACTTCTGAATTAATCTCCATCGTTTTCCTTCCACTCAGATCGTCCAGGGCTCGCCTGTGTTGAGAGAATAGAAAAATACCAAGATAGTTTCCTGCTGGCCTTTGAACACTATATCAATTACCGAAAACACCACGTGACACACTTTTGGCCAAAACTCCTGATGAAAGTGACAGACCTGCGCATGATCGGAGCCTGCCATGCCAGCCGCTTCCTGCACATGAAGGTGGAGTGCCCCACGGAACTCTTCCCTCCACTGTTCTTGGAAGTGTTTGAGGATTAGATGGACTGGATTCATTCTCATAATTCCTACAGCACTACTGGGCGTCATTTCATTCCATTGCCTAGCTCTTTTTTGTTTGTTTCTTTGTTTCTTTGTGTTGAGAGGGATTGTTTGGGGGTAAAGGGAGGTAGTCCTTGGCATAGACATGGATGAAATTGCCCCTTGAATGCGGGTACTTGTAACTATTGCATTTTGTTCTCCGGTCCTTTGATGTGAATGCTTTGAAGGTTTTCCAGTTGTGGAAGTGGGGTGGGGGACAATCATTAATTCACCAGCACCAAGCCATCACCAGCTCCCACCTGTCCCTGGGCAGAGACATAAACAAGCAAAATTGCGCTGAAGACTGAAGAAGCCTTAAAACCAAGCTAACACGGTCATCGTTATCCAATCCTGATTTTTGGCACGGCTCACATGAGCAGAGCACAGACCACCCATGGCTAGATGGGGCGTCCACCTTTGTTAGGGAAAG